CTTCCCTACTTCCTTATCCGGTAGCTGCCACAGCTTTTCCCAGGACCCTGTCGCCATTAAACCTTCTTTTTTAGACTCAGAGTCTCACTTTCCCTCTTCAAGGCCCCAGATATCACGTCCTGCGTGACAAGGTTGGAGAGCTCGAGGAGGGGTGGCAAAGGGTTAAGAAATATAAGAGTCAAGTATAGAGTTACTGCGGGCTAGGGGTCTCAAGTCTCTGTGGACCGAGCCCTGATTCTGGCGGGCGCAAAGCTTTTATTCTCAACTGCCACAAAGAAGTAAATGTGAATATCTTAACCCAGTTTGTTGATTCGATGTGCCTGGCAACTGCTTCACCAAAACTCCTTGTGATCAAACACAAGTTGTGCTTTCACACATACATATGATCCCTGTGGTTGGACTCAGCATTCGGAGACCATCAGATAAGGAAGCTTTACCGAGATTACCTTATTTCCCCGTGTATAAGACGCACCCTTTTCCGAAAAATTATGGGTCTAAAAACTAGGTATGTCTTATACAGTGATGGTAGATTTTTTTTACTTGCATTTCCCACAAGTGATGAGGAGCTGTATGAATTTTATGATGAATAAAACTTGAGTTCAATAACTTTATATAATATATTTTTTTCAAATTTTGGGCCCCAAAATTAAGGTGCATCTTATACATTGGGAGCGTCTTACACATGGGGAAATACCTTATTCCCTCGGGTCTCAGCATTCCGAGACACTCCCTTATGACTTCAAAGGATAAGCACGCTGGAGCATTCAAGTCGGCAGCTGCAAGGTGACAAACCCCTTATCCTTTTCAGCTTTGATTTTGTTTTATAATTGTTTACAACCAAGGAAAAGGTTGCCTGACAATATTCCTGATTGGCAAGACGACAAGGACAAAGGGGCAAGGTTATAACAAGAGCCTTTAAAGTTGGGATGAAATGGGGAGACTTTACTAGTTGAGAACTGATTAACTAGTCCATTCTAATATAGATTAAGAATTGCATTACTCTAGTTCGATTCTGTTTAAATAGAGATCTCTTGCTGCCAAGAAAAAAGAGAGGAGCGTTTTCCATAACAAACATATTTCCTCTTTCCTATTTGTTCCTCTGTAGAAACCTAATTCTGCCGGTCCCCTTAAAGGAGGGGAGTAACCTTTTACAGAATCTGTCCACCTCCAGTGACTCTTAACAGTGCACTCAAAGGGACTTCATTTATTCATTTGGGTTAATTATTGAAAGGCTACTATATGGAAAATGCTAGAATCTAAGGGGAAAGGCTATCTCATGAGCTGCACTCTTTTTGTTGGTCTTGTATAGACTTGAACTGATAGAGATGAAAGAAAGTGTACCAATCTCCTCCAAATTTGTTACAGACAAAACAAATATTAGAAGTATAGGTATATAGAATTGCCTGTTTTGAAAGTACTGATTATTTACTGGTGCAATGAACAAACAGAAGCTATGCAAAACAAAATAGGTTCTCTGTTTCTTGCATTTTGTGTGGGTATTGTATATGTTCATTTTTAATGCTTGCTATATCCATGAGGTCGACAGGAGGTATAGTGTTATTTTTATACCTGAGAAACAGGTTAAAATTGCTTGTCCAAAGTTATTAAGATGGATAACACCAGAACCAGAATTAGCATTCACTTCTGACCTGAGTTGTTGCAGTCCTCAAAGCAGCTATATTGCCATTGGCAAAGTCAGTTGAGCATTTTCAGCATCCTTTGGCATACTGTGAAATGTTACAATGCACAGATGGATGCTTTTAAGTTAAAAGCTCTCAGCTATGAGAACTAGCAGTCCTGACAGAGTATGGCTCAGATCAGTTTGGTGGGTGGAGGAGTGGCTGGATCCCTGACAGGTCTTGGCCTGACTGAAGCAACCAGGTGAAATAATGTTGGGGAGATAGTAGAGGAGTAAGTTCTCATTGTTAAGGGGATGCCATTAGTCAATTAAAAACCTACGTAGTACAGCTGAAAAGTTTAGGATTGCCGGTTATGAAATAGGGAGCTTTGGGCTCACTCCAGGATTCTGGTTTGACCTTGGGGAGAGGGGCTTGAAGGCTTTGACTGGGTTCTAGGCACTGGAAGTAGAGAAGAAAATACATGGAGACCTGCTGCAAGAAAAAAGGGTTCCATGGTTGTCCTTTGTGTGGGAAAGGTGCTATAGCGGTTTCCAGTTAATACGTAGAAAAGTATTGTAGGACCATTCATGAGAACACAAGTTGGAAGTGGGGTTGGTTTGGGGACCAAATGTCGAGTTTTGGACTTGTATGTGCCAGATGGGGAAAAGGTGAACTATTAAGTGGAAATGACACATAAGTTGGAGTTAAAGGGCTGGAGATGATGAAGTCACTGGATTGCAAGAATATATGTGAACTCCTGAGCAGAAAGATGAGAGGTTTGGACTCAGTGAGTTTGATAGGTGAGGTAGGGAGAGTGCAGCGGAGGCAGAGCCGTGGAGGAGCCTTTGGGAGGTGGGCATGAGCAAGTAGAGGGCAGGGCTGCAAGTCCAGGCCAGTGGAGCTTTTCAAGGGATGTGAGAAGGGTCAGGCCCAGCAGATGCCATGCCGAAGAGGTGACTGAGCATGGAAGGAAGGATGTCCTGGGAGACTTGGGGCTCATTGGTAGGGATGAGGCAAGAGGACCTGGAGCAAAGGGATCGGTGACTATCACACGGATACACGATGGAGATGAGTGACTGATGTCAAAGGTGTACAGAGACAGTAGACATACAGGAGGTTGTGGTATTTGGTTAGGAGTCATTGGTGGTTCGTGGCAGCCAGAAGTTTACAGACAAGCCATTTGAAGCCCCAGCAGATGCTGGGATTTTGTATTATGGCTTGTTCTCTTCATGTAATTGTATTTGCCTTGGATGGAAAGGAAAAAAATCAACTTCCTGAGGAAGAAGGACCAGTGATGACATGTTCAAAGTGGAATGCTATATTATGATAGAGTCAGGACCCAAACCAAGGTCTGCCGACTCACGGGTGAAAATTTTCTGGATGACAGCAGCCTTCCAAACCACCACTGGATCTGTCCCCTTTTTCTTCTTTACCTAAATTTCATTTATCCATTTTTTGGGGCCTTGGCATAGTTTTTCTTACTTTTTCTATCAACCCATCTTCTTTGCCCATCTTCTCTTGTGAAGATTCTTTTCACTTTCATCTGACCCCTATTAGATTTTCTGAGCATCAAATGAAATAAAATAGGGAGTCACATCTAGGATTAGCATCTGGGGAGCCGGGATGAAGCTTTGAGTCTCCCTCTTTACAAAGAGCAGTACTAGCCAGATGTTCTATAGGGCAGAAAAAGGTCAGTAAAAGGGGATTTGTTTGTTTTTTAATGAGGAATATTTCATTATTAGAATAAATTACCAAAAAGTAAAAGATCTTACAAGATCTAAACTTCTTATAAAATACCATGAATTAATAAACAGTGATATAAAGCAGTCTGTGATTAAGTACTTCATAGAAGCTAGAGAAGTGAATATGCTCCTGAGTGTGTCCTAGGTCTAGCCTGTACAGAGAGCCATTCTCCTTCGGTGCAGGATCTTACTTGGCAGCAGAGTAGAAATTCCACTTCCAATAAGGGTGCCTACACGTATCTCCTGACAGTTACACATTTGGAAGATCATATAGGATGTCCCATCAATAGCTTTGGATTTTCCTGCCTTTCAATGGACCAGCACACTTTGGGATTTCACTGATTTGCTACAAGAAAATTTTCAGGACCGGCCGAGTGGCACGTTGGTTAAGAGCTGGCTTGGGACGCCAGCTCTGAGCAGCAGGGCCCCAGTTCGGATCCCACATGAGGGCCAGTGACACTGCCCTTTACAGCTAAGATGGTGAACAACAGCTTGATCCGGAGCTGGGCTACCATGAGGCAATGGCGTAGACTGCAGCCCCTGCTGCAGTGGGCTGCCATGAGCTACCATGAGTGGCTGGCAGCCAATGTGAGCGGCTGGCAGCTGGCGTGAGCTGGCGTGAGCTGCCGTGAACAGCCATCCAATGGCCGGCGAGTGACTGCCTCACCCGGGAAGAACGCAATAATACCAACATGCACCAGTGAAGTGACGTCCTCCACAACTAGACTGAAGAACAGAAAAGGACAGCAACTTGTCTGTGCCCCTTCCTTGATTCCCCTCCCCCAATTCCCCAATAAAATCTTTAAAAAATTTTTTTTTCAGCTGTGGAAGGAAATTCACAGACTCATCTGCTGATGCTTTTTTGTGGGAATGAAAAGATTATGATTTGTATTTTAATTCAGCTGTTTAGCATTTTGTCAGCATATCTGCTTTCATTGAAAAATTGTTGAATCCTCTGGCCATATATCAGATTTGCTAAAAAATCAATGTTAAGTTGTGTTTTGGTTTAGCCCAGCAGCTCAAGCAAATTGAAGCTATAGCAGTTTTCACAGGTGGTGTCCATCTGGTCAGCAGGGTGTATAGTTCCCGGGCCTCCGTGCTTACAGCGTTCCCTTTGCAGCGTGGGCCCTGCATGTCAGTGGAACACAGGATGTGGTGGGCTTGGAGCAGGGAAAGGGCTGCGGCAGGATGTCTACGGGCAACCGGAGACTTCAGGAGGCAGGTCCTGCAGGTTGTCGAGATGGTGGTTGGATTTGGGCACTGGGGGCCTCTGTAAAAGCCCCTCTGTAGAGAGAATGGTCTGGATGGCCCTTTTGGCCAGGGTCGCTGAGTGAAACTTTCTCAAACTTTGACATCTTGAGAGTTGAGAAGCTGCTGGGGAATTTTTGGGCTTTCTTGATGCTAAATGTAATAGGGTCCTGTTAGAGATGGTCCAGCTCTATAGTGAAAAAATAGAACTAGGTCAGCATCTGTCTTTGCAGGTTAAGCAAGAAATGCTCAGAGGTTTTATTAGAGATATTTCAGTGAAGAATAAATGACCTCAAAAAATAATAAAAGTTTAAATGTTTTTATTATAAAATATTAAGCTCCTTGGTTTGTGGTATGAAATCTGTAACTATAATTTATCCTTTTAATTTAGGCAGAAACTCTATCCTGAAGATATGGCCTTTGGAGCTTCAACATTTCCACCTCAGTATTTAACTTCCGAGATGGCTCTTCATCCGTACACGTATTCTCCTTACACCGTGGAGTCAACACAAAATGTTTGCCCAGTACCTAGTTCACAGCATGATTACAACCAACCCAGTTGTTACCGAAGTTTTCAGAAGATGAAGCCGCGGTATGAGCACATGTGCCCTCTCCCACAAGACACGAAAGCTCTGATTAAGGTCAGTTAAGTGCTGTGGTTTTGCTGGTCACTTTAGCATTTAAAATGTAAAGAACTGGTCAATTACTGCATGATACTCAAGTATCACTTATCTTTTTGTGATATTTAAGAATTGATTTGGTCTAACCTTCATTAAAATGGTTGAGTTATGAATACTTAAAAATTTGCAACTTTTAGCCTTTTTTCATAGTGGAATAATTGACCCTTGAACTGCATGTATCCACTTATACACAGATTTTTTTTGATAAATATATTGGAAATTCTTTTGGAGATTTGGGACAATTGAAAAAACTTACAGATGAACCTTGTGATTTTCTTAATAAGTTTCTTTTTTCTAGCTCACTTTATTGTAAGAATACAGTATGTAATACATACAACATACAAAAATCTATGTTAATTGACTGTTTATATTATTGGTAAGGCTTCTAGTTAACAGTTAAGTTTTATTAGCAGTTAAGTTTTTGGGAGTCAAACATTATATATATATGCAGATTGTCTACTGTGCGAGGGTAGGGGTGCCCCAATCCCCTTGTTGTTCAAGGTTCAACTGTAGTTTTCTTAATCCATGTTTTTCATCTTTCCTGCAGAAAAAAACGTATGATGAGCAAAAATTTGACACTAAGAAGGCTGATGGAACTATATCATCTGATACAAAATCAATAAAAGGTTCGCATCATATGTCCATTCATGCTGGCACTAATTTGAAATCAGGTAAAAATAACAAACTCTGTAGTGTTGTGTCAGCCTACTCCACCCACTCCAGAAGCCTTGCTGTTCTTTGAAGAGCTGTTTCTGTGGGCTTGTTTATTGTGAAAAGCTGAGGCCATCAGATTTCCTGCGGGATCCTGGAGGCCTTTTCTCCTGGAATGGAGACCTGTTGTGTGTGGGCTCTGTGATGTGCCCTAAACATATTATTACCTTGTTTTACACAAGAACTTGTCTAAGGTCACATAGCAAGTAGGTCATGACCACATGCTGCAAAACATGTCCTTAAGTAAAAGCAAATCACAAGCACATCCCTAGTCCTGTTTAGCCATGTTTGTTTCTGCCACAGCTTCTCTGGTCTTCTGTTGGAACATTTCTTAATAGCTGGCACAGTTTGTCTGTGATTTCAGTTCTGTCCTAAACAATACCAAACCTTGAGCAGTATAGTTTACTCACAGGACATTGAGTTCAGTTGTGAATGCTTAAAATTTTGCAGTTTTTAGCCTTTCTAATTGTGGAATAGTTGACCCTTTAACTGCATGGGTCCACTTATACAAGGATTTTTTTTTTTTTTTTATAAATGGTATTGGAAATTGTTTTTGGAGATTTGGGACAATTTGAAAAAACTTTCAGATGAATCTTACGATTTTCTTAATATTTCTTTTCTCTAGCTCACTTTATTGTAAGAATACAGTATATATTACATGTAACATACAAAACGTGTGTTAATTGACTATTTATATTATTGGTAAGGCTTCCAGCTATTTGTGCCAGAAATCATGTCTGCTCTGGGATTGAAAGCTACCATCCTGGTCTGTGGCTAAAAGTTAGTGATTCTACACGGCGTCTTGTTTTTTTTCCTGTAATTCATTTACAAGTGCAGTTTGATTACAGCCATCCCCTGTTTATAGAATGACTTAAAACTTTGTAATGGTGTACTTACTGGGAAAGATCTATCATTCATTTACAGGTACAATATAGGATACTTGGTATATAAATTTTTGTCTTTGGGTTGACTTTACTCGTAAACCATCTGGTACATGGAAAGGTGAAAGGAAAGTTGAACAGTTAACTGGAATAACTGGCTTTATAATGAAATACAGGGGCTTGACCACTTTGCAGCCTATGTTGTCATTCATTTGCGTTTGAAGGAGAAAGATGGGAAAGAGGTTATAAGTTCAGTTCTACCTTCTTCCCTCCATTTTATTCCAGCAAACTGAAATAGGGAAACTTTCTTACTTAAAGGAAATTTGTTAGCATCTCTTTAAATTTGTAAAACTCTAAAATGTATATTAAGAATAATAAAATGCCCAGTGGCACAATCAGGTTATTTATTAATGTTAGAATACTCCAGGAATGTGCACAGTGTTTTGGTTTTTTGCCTGTGGCCCAACCAGAGCGATTGCTACTTCTTGTCACATGTGTTTACACTGTTACACGTAAAGCAACACTAGCATAATTTAGGCTGTTTGGACAATAACATGTCTTGTATCAATGGTGATAGATTTTCTACTCTGTAATTTAAACATGACTGCAGACCAAACAACATCTAAATTTTCTCCCCTACTTTTAATTCTGTTAATACAGATGGTTATCATAAACGAACAGATAGGAAATCCAGAATCCTTGAAAAAAGTGGACCTGCCTCCAAACCTGAGTTTCAATTTTCGAGGTTGGATTTTCCTGAACTACAGGGTGCAGAGAACAATGAGATATTACAGATACCGAAACAACCCAAGTGGGGGCCATTGCGCTCCACCTCTGCAGACACTTCTCTTATAAGAGAAGTGGTGAAACCCACTGCAGTGTTAGCAGAGGTGAGTGCAGGCTCATTCCCTTTGTTTCCGAACTCTTCATTTCTGTTGTGTGAACTGTTCACAGTGAGGCTGTGACACCTAGTGCAGATATTCTTTTCAAAGAAGCACCTACTGTTATCTGGTAGCTGAAAGGTAGTGGAGTGCATCAGGAGAAGATTCTAGCATGAGTCCAGCTGCTTAGACAGCCCATTGCAAACACCTCACTTCTAGTATTGTGTTCTGACAGCACTTCCTTCAATATAGCAAAAAGATTTTATTTAATCGAATAGCAATATTTAAACTTGTATAGTGTAATTTCCGATTTTTTCAGGCTTTTTATCTGTACCTCTCATTAATGATACAGCAGATTCAGCGAAAGTAATTTCAGTAAGTACATTCAGTTTGCTGCTTAGTAATTTTATTTTTTTAATTATTTTTTTCAGTTACAGTTGACATTCAATATTATTTTATATTAGTTTCAGGTGTACAGCATAGTGATTAGACATTTTTATAACTTATGACATGATCTACCTGACTAGTTCAGTACCCACTTGGCCCCATAGTTATTACAATATTACTGACTATATTCCCTATGCTGTACTTTACATACCTATGACTATTTTGTAACTACCAGTTTGTACTTCTTAATCCCTTCACCTTTTTCACCCAACCATCCAACCCTCACCCCCACCGCCGACAGCCATCAGTTTGTTCTCTGTGTGTCTGTTTCTGTTTTGTTTGCTCGTTTATTTTGTTCTTAGATATCACAAACAAGTGAGATTATATGATATTTGTCTTTCTCAGTCTGATTTATTTCACTTAGTATAATACCCTCTAGGTCCATCCATGTTATCCCAAGTGGTAAGTTTTTATTCTTTTTAATGGCTAATATTCCACTGTATATACAAGGTGGGACAGTTAAGTTTGCGAACTCATCCTAGAAAAAGTGCCACATACCTCATTGGTAAATATCACTACGGTCACCTTCAAAGTACTCCCCTTGGGAAGCTATGTGCCAATGCCAGCGCCTAGTCCACCCTTCAAAGCAATTTTAGAACTCTCTTTCTTGAATGGCCATCAGAGCTGTCGTCGTATATTACCCTTGATATCCTGAATGTGATCAAAATGTCTTCCTTTCAATATTTTCTTTATCTTTGGGTAAAGAAAGAAGTCATTGGAGGCCAGATGAGGTGAGGAAGGAGGGTGTTCCAATACAGTTATTTGTTTACTGGCTAAAAAGTCCCTCACAGACAGTGCCATGTGAGCTGATGCATTGCCATGATGCAAGAGCCATGAATTGCCGAAAAGCTCAGATCATCTAACTTTTTCGCGCGGCCTTTTCAGCACTTCCAAATTGTAACCTTGGTTAACTGTTTGTCCAGTTGGTACAAATTCATAATGAATAATTCCTCTGATACCAAAAAAGGTTTGCAGCAAGTTTGTGAACTTAATTGTCAGACCTCATATGTACCACATCTTTATCCAATCGTCTGTTGATGGACTCTTAGGTAGCTTCTATACCTTGGCTACTGTAAATAGCGCTTCAGTGAACATAGTGGTGCATATGTCTTTTTGAATTAGTGTTTTGGATGTCTTAGTAATTTTAAATTACACTATGTTCACCATTTGATCTCAAGAGTTTTAGTCCATCAAATCAAGACATTTTCCTCTCATACAAATTGATTTGAGACTTTCAGGGAAAAAACGTTAATGGGTTGCTAGTCCCTAAAATCACTTCTGACAGATTTCCCATAAAGGCAGGGTGGGGCATATCCAATGTGGGGCAAGGAGGAAGAAGAAACCAGAAGAAAACAGAGCTCACCCAATTGCTTACGACTGGAGAGGGAATTTCCATTTCCTGTCCTAGTACTTGTCTTGGGCGCTTGGACACTGAAGCCCGAAGGCTGGGTGGTGATGGCTTACGGTATGCAGGAGGTGGGCCACTCCCCCGTGTGCCATGACCCTTAGGCTGTTACACCATGGCAGTGACAAGGTTGATTGGTGTGGGAAAATGACAATGTCATTTGGCAGATGTGTGACCCCTCTGGGTCCCCCACAGGGTACGTAGAATAGCTGAGCAGTCGAGGTGCTCCATGACTTGGTCATAGGCAGGCAGTGGAGAATTCCAGGCCCATGAGTGCTGTGCAGAAGTAGAGCAGGTGAGGCAGGTGGAGCGTGACTGACACTTTGTCCTGGTCACTGTTAGAGGTGAGTACAGTGTATGTAGACAAGAGGTAAGGTACATCATGCTATGTGAAGAGATGTACCTACTCGTTACCTTATTATATATTCACACTCTTGAATTGTGTGTGCAGTTCTTTTTTCATTTTCCCTTTAAAAGGAAATTTTATTCCCTGATTATACTAGAAGTATCTGAACACACACACACACACACACAAATATTAAGAAAAAATATATAATTGTCTGAAGTTGTATAGCCAAGAGAAAACAGTATTTAGCCCCTCATCTTTTGTTAATGATACATTGTAGGAATTGTGCATGTGGGGGATTATACATATGTACAGATTTAAAGTGTTAAGAACGTTTTTGGCATTTTCTCCATGTCATTAAATAGTCTTTGAAAACAATGGTTGCATTGGATCTTTGATATGTATAATTGGCTTAACCAGTGTTTCATTAGCCTTGCTGAGCATAAATGTTAACATTTATTAAAAGAACAAGCTGTTTTAATAATTTTATTTTTTATTACTGGCCTCAGATGTAATGAAATGGAAAAATGGGTAAATTTGTGAAGCATATCAGCTTTAGAATTGATTTTAAATCCATTCAAATTTGAATTTATCAATTTCCTTTTACTTTCAGTGCAATCAGTTATTTGAGGTGTCTCTAAATGTACCCTTTCACCCCCCTCACCCTGTGTCGTTGGGGCCTCATGTTCCATGCGTATGGCAGCTTTTCTGTCTTTATAAAAGGGTGCATGTATCACAAGGCTTACATTTGTTATCTGTGTGGATGTTTTGAGGTTCTTTTGGAACTTTGGTGTGTGGGCTTGGTAAATGATGCTTTCACGTTTATACAGGGGCACTGGGGTTTTAAGATTGGTATTGGCACATTGTGCTGATCCAAAAGTTGTCTGGTATGTTGATCTTTTAAAAGTTGCATGATATGTGTAGTTTGATCCCATTATTAGGATCCATGTAAAAATGATACATAGATGTTTATCTCCTGGGCAGTGAAACGGAGATGCTAGCTAAGCTGTAGACAGTGGGTGGTGGTTCTTCTAGTGAGAGAGATTTGGCAGAAGGAAGTAATTTAACGTCACATTATGTACTTAGGTATTTGGAATTTTTAATTAGCATAGTTTCAGATTTTAAGAATGGCAAGGGAAGCTGTTTTAAACATTAAATGATTACTTTCATTTTGAAATAGTAAGAAAATAACTGATTTGCTTTTTAGGGTGAAATAGTGGTGAAAAATAATAAGCCAACTGACTCTGTAACTGATAATGCTACTACCAATCCCTCTTCATGTACAAGAGGTAAGAGTGGCTGCCAAATAATATTTTTAAAAATCATCTATTTTCTAATTTCATTTTTAGTTTAGTGCAACAAATGTTTTTTTTGTCTTAAAGCCTTCTTTAAGGCAGCTGAAGTTTGTTGATAAACTAACATCAATGTTAGAAGATTGAAGTAAGTAAACTAGATCCCACATGTGTGTCAGGGAGTGTGAGATAGCAAAGAATTGTAAGTGAAATGTGTGTCCAATTCACTGGTAAGGTTTATCAACTCAGAAATGACTGCTTCTGTAAGTATTATCTGTACTAGAGGTTCTCAAAGGTTTTCATCTCAGGACCCTTTAATAAAACAGAGCTTCTGTTTATTTGGACAACTTAGTATTTGCAGTATTTAATGTTAAAGCTGAGAAAATTTAAAAATACTTATTAATTCACTTAAAAGTAACAATAATAAATAAACCCATTACATGTTAACATAGAATTTTTATGAAAAATAACTATTGTCTAAAATTAAACAAATATGGAATACCTTGTCCTAGCAAGACATTTTCACAGAATTATTCCAAATTTTTTCACAGGTGTGTTTTCTTTTGCCTTCTCATGTTTGGTACAAAGATCTTCACTTTAGAGGCTACTCTAAGGATGTATAGCTCCATGGTGACAACAGTCTGTCTCCCTCTGGGTTAGCTACAGGCTGCTGACATGACCTGCCTATGTCCTGATGGCTGTCCTTTTGTCTGTATATAGTTTTCTTGGGTACCTAAGGAGTAGTGTGGCTGTGCTTATGCCTGTGTTCTAAAAAGAAATTAATTTCCAGTTATTGTGATAGCTGAAGTCTAGTGACCTTTGACTTCTGCTGTTAAAGATACACATCTAGGTTAGTAGGGCCAAAACGTGATCTTTAGCTCGTAAGTTCTGAGTGTTTGCCACCTGGACATAATTGTGAGTTGTTTTTTGAACTGAAACTGTTGTTTGTCTGCCCACTCACACCCCTCAGTGTAAGCCAGTTTCTAGGAAAATCAGTCAACCGTAATTCAACATGCATGTTCCAAGGGGAAACACAAGTTTAGTGACTACAGTAGGTTCCAAGAATGTTTTGAACAACAGCCTAAATTTAATTACGCCCTGAGTAATTACCTCACATGATGCCTGTTTGGAATTTCTAAGGAGTTTCTGTTTACTGTTGAGACTGTTCCGCAATTGTGGTTATCTCTGAGCAGAGTTATCCTGGACGCCAATGGGTTATGTTGTCCGGCAGACATTACCTACAGAACCGTCACCAGCCCCTAGAAATGTTACTTCCGTGATAAACCTAAAGATGGTTGCTTCATCAGCAGATCCTAAAAATGGTAGCATATCAACTTCTCAAGTTTTATCTTCGGATCCTTCCTACAACAGAGAGAAACTCGTTGTCCATCCTACTAAAAAGGTATGCGTCATGTTTGAATAGTGTGCTTTTCCTATACTGCTGGATCATCTTTTATTTTTTTCTCCAGTCCTGACTAAAAGTGTTTCCTTCTGTACTGTGGGCAACAGTCTGAATTGGTTGTACATGGACCTTGAAAAAAGAATAGGACTTCAGTCAAGGAGTACAAGTGGTAGCTTTATACGTGAGTGAGGATGTACATTTTAGGTCTGTGGGCTTAAAGTAGCTGTGGGCCATTTTGAATTTTTTGAAGGAGAGATGCTGGCAGAAATGTATGCTCTGGTGTGTCAAGTGCTGCATTTTCCCCCAGTCTTTTGTCCATTGAATTTAAATTGTTTTTACCTTCTAGGGTACTAGTAACTCAGTTCCCCATTTTTGTGGTCATTTGGTATATGTTACTGATTCTTGGTTGATTATAGCTATTACTGTAAGATAGTATTTCAGAATCCATTTTTTCCTTTCATTTCAAATCATTCTAAGCTGTCATTTTTAATGATCCTTAGATTCCTTTCTTGAAGAGCCTTTGTCATTGGTCTAGATTTTTGTTCTTGATTTGCACAGTGTACTGATGGCTGATGTACTTTTAGGTTGAAATATGGTTGATATATTTTGTGCGGTCTTTTTGGATATGAGGATAGTTTTTGATATCCAAAGTGTCACAGATCATCCTGCACAAATGGGTGCTGTGTGTTTATGCTTGCTCGATTAAGGGAAAGTGTGTGGGAGACAGTTTACAGTGAGGCCAGACCTGTGTGCCTGTTCCTCACGGCTCTCTGCACTCATTGAGAACACAGGAGGCACGGGTGAGACCCCCTCTCTGAGTGCACGTGGAGACCACCATCCCTGGGGCTCCGGGGTTCTCTGGGCTCTGGCTGCACAGCAGGCATCTGGCTGCTTTTTCGCTGCAGCCACCAAGTCGCTGTCCAGAGTGGTTTTCCTAATGGACAGTTAACACTAAAACTTAACAGATTTTTTATTTTCCCAGAATCTTTAAAAAATGATCAAATGAAGATCTTGTATAATCTTAGAACCCAGATGGCTTTGTATTGTACGCAGCGGGGATGATAGGGGTTATAATGGCTTTTCCCTCTAAAGCTTTAGGTGTTGTGAATTTTTATTACTGAAATATTATAGCAAATGTAATACTATTAATACAAGGATTTAATTATGGAAAAGGTCACCTTTTTCACACCCCTTTGGTGCCTGCCCCCAGGGAAGCCTGCAGTAACAACCTGGTTATAGCCTACCGCAGAGTCCTGAAAACATAAACAGATAGGTTTGTTTTGTTTTTTAAGTTTGTTTTTAAAAAAAAAACAAAAATGGAGTCATTTTATACACATTAAAAGTTGCCTTTTTCACTTAAAGTATCATGGACAACCCCTCCAGTTCAGTAGATGAACACTTTTTTATGGTCACGGAGGCCTTTAGGTCTCCAGACATAAAGCAGGGCCCCAGACATACAAAGGCCTTGCCCCCTTAGATCTCCATTCTGGTGCAGAGGGACTAGCGATATGCAGACGGGTATAGAACCTGTCAGGTAACGATCAGTGCTCCAAAGAGGATGGAGAGGAAGAGGCTACACCGAGACGGGATGACTCTGCAGCTGAAATGAGGGCATCGTCCTGTCCTAGATCCAGATGTGGGTGTGCGTGCGAAGGCCTGAGGCCAGTTGGACCTGATGGAGGGGAGGCCGGGGGCGGAGGGGAGAGGAAGGAGTGGTGACGTCAGGTCTGGGATGGTCCTGATGTTCTGATGTGAAGGCTCAAGGGGCCGTTCTGATGTGCAGTCAGTGTCAGGACCCACTGGGCCCTGGGGATAGAAACGTTAACACCTGGATTATGAAAACACTTCAGGTCAGAGTTATTTATTTATTTATTTATTTAGCTGAGCCATCTTGCCAACTGTTGGCAGCTCAGTGGCAGCTCAGCTCGGGCTGGTAATCGAATCGGCGACCCTGCTGCTCAGAGCTCATACTCTTGAGTGAGCTATTAACCAACTGAGCCACTCAGCCGGCCTGAGGTCAGAATTATTAATAATAGAATCATTAACATGGCCTCCTCAGGCTGAAAATTGGGTTATGTCCAAATCTACCAGTTTCAAAATATTGAATGCGACAACTATTTTAATAGATTTTTTTTTTCCTTCAGTGTTATTCTCCTGGATGCTGGCTCTTTGAAAAATAGTGAATGAGGAGCCGAACTCTGAATAAAACTGCCATGTGGTTATACATCTTGAAATCTGAATTTTGCTCTGATACATAGAATGAAACATTCTGTTGAATGTCCTAAAAACCAATGATTTTTGCTTTTGTTGTTATTGTTGTTCTAGTCCAAAGTATCACAAGGTGGTGAGCCTGAGCAAAATGAAGCCTCAAGAAAAAATAAGAAAAAGGAAGAAAAGTCAAAATCAAAATATGAAGTCCTGACAGTTCAAGAGCCGCCGAGAATTGAAGTACATATTTCTCCCCTTGTGTGGTATAATACATGGGTCTGTCTTAATGGAAATGTGGGTTCATACTGTTTCCCAAGTGAAAACCTTCAACGTTTTCTTTAATAACCATTTTGCTAGTGTAAATCATCATCATCCATTTTCTTTATGTCTTTATGTCATCCCGGCACTGACTGTTTTCGAAGCAGGCCCTCGGTAAACGCTGGAGTGAACGAACGGTCTAGAGACAAAACTGCTTGTACACAAATTTAGTTTGTGCACCGCAGTACTAATAGTTCCCCCTCAGTATCTCCTTCACCTGTTTTTTCCCTTGCTTTGGCATGCTGGCTTTTGCAGGGCCTCCTTTTCTATCCAGAAATCTTATTACAATGTGCTCCACTAGAGATTGCAACCTAGAATACCGTAGAGCCATCATGAGCCCTGATCAAGAGAATTTCATGGACTTGTGAAAGCACTCTTTTAAATTGTTGTCCTGTGGTACTCCAAGAATGTCCCTGTCCTCCAAGTGGCCTTCCTGGGCTCTGACCATGTTTCCCATGTGTCTGCAGTATTACACTCAGCAGCTTGGCTCCTGGTGGCAGCAGAAGGGTCAGCAGTGCTGCTCCAACATTCCCACAGACCTGGGAGTTTCTCACAGCTCTTGGAATATGCCCTTGAGGATAGTGGGGTCGTGTTCGAAGACCTATGACCATGGCAGAGCATTATGGTTTGGGCCAATGAATAATTCATATTTCTGCCCCTATTTCACACTTCTCCAAGGCACCTAAAATGTTGACAGAAGCATATAAGACATTTTAAATGATTTAAACATTATTTAGAGGCCTGCTGCCTCTCTTCTATTTTCTAGCCTGGGATCAGCACACATGACAGCATGACAGGCCTCTTACATCCCCTGAACCTGGATTGATGGTCTCCCTAATGAGCAGCATAGTTGAAGGATGGGTGCTTGAGCACTCCTGGTGGTTGGGGCGCTACTGTGGACCCCTTGGACGTGCCTGCATCCTCGGGGCCCCCACTCTTGCTTTCTGCAGCAGGAGATTAGAACTGGGGTCTTTAAATTTGTTCTAAGAGTAAAATTAAGCTGAAGCCCTCATGTTACAGTTTTTTGGGCTGTTTTATGTCACCTTCGAACACTCCTGTGGGAGCTTATCATAGAAAATATGAGCAAGGAAAAGGTTTTACGGGGTATATTTTGATTTTCATGATTCCTGAAGAGCTGAAGAGGTGTGTGGTTTACTTAGGATACGGAGGAGTTCCCCAATCTGGCAGTGGCATCTGAAAGAAGAGACAGAGTAGAGTCACCGAAATTTCAATCTAAACAGCAGCCACAGGTAAATTTTAGATTGAAACCACAATTGCTTTAGGCTTAACTCTTCTCGCTAAACTAAACGCTTGAGAAAAACTACTTTCCAGACTTCTGGGTGTATGGAGACAGGTAGTTATGTTTTGATTTATTCTTTCATTGGAGGAGGGCATCCAGTATGTTGGAACCAAATTGGTCTTATGCTAAAACGCTTTGTCACTTTTGTAATAAGCCTGTTGGTGACTACCACTGCTTTATCAGACAGTAGGGGAACACATACTGCCTATGAAACTTCGATTTAAAGAAAAAAATGTTGGTTCAGTTTATTCAGGAAACAAGAATTCCTTTGTGAGGCAGTAATGTCTGACAGAAGGAAGATAAGAGAGCCACCAAAATTTCACTCTTATGTAGTCAGAACAAGCAGAAGAGGTGATTGTCCTTGTGCCCCAGCCCTGCTGTAGATTCAGGAATGAATTTGTGGTTCATATTCCAGATGGAGAACCTGCAGACTTTGGAGAGCTTAGGGCATGTTCATTGTCATTTTTGCCTTTCAGACTGAGGTCATTATTTTCACATTTGTAAAAAGTAAAATTCTAAACCCTTGTGTGAATTAACTTTGCATTATTGTGTTATGGTTTGGACATCTTCCACCCTGGTGGAGGGTCTCTATAGTCCACCTGTGCTGCTCTTAGTGGTCACACCTTGATGTGAGCCCGCAGCCCGTGGGGTTTTGGCATCAGGGAAGAGAACAGTGGGCAGGAGAGAGGAGTGAAGGTGCTAAAAGCACATGTGATAACCTGTCCTTACAACTGTTTATACTGTCTCAAACCCAAGTCACAGCTAGTTCAGAATAACATTTGTTTAGAATATATATGTCTTTGTTTAGAATATATATGTCTAAATTTAGTACTCATCTTCTGGGTGTGATTTGGACTTGTATAAATTTTTTAGCCATAGCCCCATGGTGTCATGGCAGTTGGTTGGCTCACTAAGGCAGTTAGAGAATGAATGAGGCTATTGAGGCAGTAATACTAACCAATTAGCCTCACATTCAAACTTCTGTAGCCAAAGACTTTATACAAGCCTTGGTTTCTTGTCTGTAGATGTACACTATTATTCACAATGGCGATATAGACATAATCGTGCGTGGTTTAATATAAACTCAGTGTTATGAAAGAAGAGAAAGGAAATAACCATGGTGGTGACATTGGCAGATAATGTGGGATTGATTGGGGTTTTTCTTTAATTACATTAATTCTTGAAATTTTTAAATAAACTTCTGATTTTTGAACTTTTTAGAATACTTTTAAAAGTAGTGGAAAGAAGAGCCAAATTCCAGTACAGTTGGATTTGGGGGGAATGCTGACAGCACTGGAAAAGAAACAGCACTCCCAGAACACAAAGCAGTCCTCCAAACCAGTGGTGTTCTCAGGTAAAAACGTCTTTTCATCTCAAGTGAAAGTTTTTTTGAGATAGACTATTTTGACTGTTTTCTCTTGTAATCAAAAATGATTTATCTATAATCAAAACAGTATGGTATTGGAATAAGTATAGATATAGACCAATGTGATAGAAATGAGATTCCAGAAATAAACCCACATATCTCTGGCCATTAAATTTTTGACAGGGGTGCTAAGTTCATTAAAAGAACAAAGAACAAT